TTGCTCACCCAAACCGAGCGCACATCAACACGCCCACAAAACTGATGACCATCAATGGAGTCTTCTTTCCCTTCTCTTTTTCCTTTCATTTTCATTTTTTTTTGTACTATTGTTTTCTTATTTATTTCTTTTATGTTTTCTACACTGCATACTACTTATCTTACATTACATTGAGGATAATGTGTCCATTAAGTGTGTGGGAGTGGTTAGCACTTGCATTAGGTTATGAATACATGCTGCCACACATCCTTAGCCTTACCCACATCACACATATTCTGTATTTTATGTCTTAAGTAGCTATTCTTCCTTTTTCTTTTTAGCATCTCATTCTAGGTATTTAGACCTTGCCTAATTTTTGCCACACCAACTACACCTCTAACAATTTTTGTTCCAATCTTCACAACTATCTTTATTATTTTTAAGCAACTCAAATGGCATATTACAAAAATTGAATTGTACTTATCACCATCTCCTAGGAATTATAGCTTGTTTTTCATCTTTTCACACCTTATATACTTATATTTGATTGTGTATTTTAAACATGACTTGTGTGAGGATTGTCTATTCAATAATTTAATTTTCTCCCATTTTTGGGTGAATGTCAGTACTTATAAAAGACCCTACTATAAATTGTCTAGATTTGTGTGCTTATAATTATATGGTTCATGTCTAGGACTAAAGAATAAAAACAAACCTAAGGTTTAGATGAATAGAACAAATTGACTAGCATGTGATGGGTGAGATGGAGCATAAAACGCACTCACAGTACTTGAAATCGATGTTAACTGAGTAATCGTGTGACATCCCAAGTGCTAATTAAGGCAAATGGGTGTTAGATACAGATTCAGAATAACAAGTACATGATAAAATTTATCCAGCGGAACAAAATCATTATAAATCCCTTACAAAAAATATATGAGTTCCAATACATACATATATTGATGCTAGAAGTGGCTGCAAAATACAAAACAAAACATAAGGGCCACTTCTTTCATTATGTTATTAGATTCATCAGAGTGCGGGAACAATCATGCACTCAGACTTGTGGATCCGCAGGATCCTCATAGACTTCCAAGTGTAGGTCAGCCTGCAGTTCCTAACTTTCTTCCTTATCGGGGAGGGGGAGGGGCATGGAAAGAATGAGTTCCATATGCTGAGTAAGGAATACAATATTAAATTAATATCATAAGATTTTAAAATTTAATTATTCTATCTTACAATTTACTTCCTCGTTTACCTATCTCACATTATGGAAAACTATTTATTTGTTAAGAAAATGATACATTAATACAGAAAATCAAATAAATCATGAAATGCATATATTTTTGTGTCATGTTTCGTGAAGTCGTTACAACTTTCATCTCTGAGGGTAGATACAGATTTCTAACTACCCAAGTAGAATGACCAGATCAGATACAAATACGACAATTTGTTCATGCCCATTTTCGGTTGGCCAAACTATGGTACGATCTATGACCACG